GCATGATGGCCGTGGCACTGATGCCATGGATCGTTGCGCTTGCAACGAAGGCAAATCTCATCTCGATGATCACTGGCATCAGCCATGAGCGATTGAATGTGTTGCACAGATGGGCTGCGTACATCTGCCTGTTGCTGAGCATCTTGCACACTGTCCCCTTCTACGTCACGCCAGTCTGGGAGAAAGGCGCGCAGCGAGCGTTCCAGCAGCTGCTTCAGCAACAGAGCGGGATGTACATTTACGGAACTGGTACGGCTAGCCTCCCCAATGACGGGTCAAATACTGACAATTCTCAGGTATTGCGGCACTCGTGCCACTGTGCTTCCTATGTACGCATTCTATTGCGCCTCTCCGCCACCGAATGTACGAATTGTTCGTGGCTCTGCACGTACCCGTTGCCATTGTCTTCCTCGGAATGATGTTTTGGCATTGCAACAATTACCTAACGTCATGGCACTACTTACTGTCTACTCTGGGAATCTGGCTCCTCTCCTACTTCATGCGCCTGTTCTATCTGAACTGGACTCGCCCAGGCCAGCTATCCTGGCTCATTGGCGATGAGGCCGCCGTGACGCTCATGCCAGAAAACGCCATCAAGATTACCATCCCAACCAAGATGCGGTGGAGACCTGGACAGTACGTCTATCTCCGCATGCCTGGAATCTCGGTCTTCGAAAACCACCCCTTCACCATCGCTTCGCTATGCAGCGAGGACTTCCCTTCGGAGTACGGCGAGGGCTACCGGGACATGGTCCTCGTCTTCCGCCCATTCGGCGGCTTCACGAGGAAGGTCCTCAACAACGCCCTCGATCACGGCCCATGGCACACATACCGCGCCTTTGTCGATGGCCCGTATGGAGGCATGCAGAGGCGTATTGAGGCGTTTGATGACGTCGTACTCATTGCTGGAGGCAGCGGTATCACTGCCATCGTCTCGCAGTTGCTGTCTCTTATCAAGAAGATGCGCGATGGCAAAGCTGTTACCCGAAAGATCCATGTGATCTGGGCCCTCAAGCGTCCCGAAACCATGGAGTGGTTCAAAGAAGAACTGCGCATCTGCCGCGAGCATGCGCCTCCCGAGACAGTCGAGTGCCAATTCTACATTACCGCCGCGAAGCGCAACCCAGGCGGCGGACTTGTCAGCGCAAAGACGCCTACCCGTCCTGTATCAATGTTCTTTCACGACAAGGTCAACGATGCTTTCCAGAACATCGCGGACCACCGCCTTTCCGGTGTTTCCGGTATTTCCTCAAAACGACACTCCGCTCTGATCCGTGACGAAGCGCAGGGAGACCCAGAGAAGGAGTCTGAACTGCGTCGCGAGAACGAAGACAGCATCACAGCGCTTCCACAAGCGCACATGGTACCCATCAATCGGGGCCACCTCGCACCACCACGTCCAAGTTACAACAGCGGGCGAAACTCTGCCGAATCAGCACATAGCTCGAACCCCGATCTTATAGCGCCTGCGCCACGCGGCCTTGCTGCCCGACGTCAAGAACGCAACCTGTCCCTCGATATCAGTCAAGCCGTCTCTTCGGGTTCCGGCGCGATTAATCCGGACATCTCCCACAACCCTACCGAAGGCGGGCAGGGTTTCGACTTCGGTTTCCCGTCTACACCCACTGAGTTCCAAAAGAATCTCATGCGCTTCGCATTTTTGCCTGCGGCCGTCAAGAAGAAGGATGGCTGGAGCACAGAGTACGGACGCCCGGATATACCATATCTGCTCAAGGGACTGAGCAAGAACTTTGGGCGCAGAACGTGTGTGTTCGTTTGCGGACCCCCCACCATGCGCGTTAGTGTGAGTGAGACGATTGCGCAACTCCAAAGGAGTGTGTGGAGTGACAGTGGGCGCGATGAGATTTTCCTCCACGCCGAGAACTACGCCTTGTAAGGCGTGGATGTACTTTTCTTTACCTTCACTTGTGCATAGCGTTTGGACGGCTTGGTGTATATACCCCCTTTCTTTGTTTTCTTTTTATACCTCTGTATCTGTACGGTGATCGACGACGTTAGTATCTGTCGCAGCTAGAGACTATCGAATAACATCTTGGTAAATGGTTGTAGCAATCGAAGAAGCCTCCTAGCAGACAATGCAGCCACGAAAGGGCTGTATTGTATGTTGCGTAGTTTCTTCGAGTGCTACAACTATCTGTCTTAGATGATACAAACAGTACTTTTGCAGTGCACATGTTAGGATTGAATCTAGAATAATCCAGAGATCAGCTTACTCTGTCTCAACGAAGAATTAGCTTTGCTTTGTTGACTCCATAGAGTTTGCATAAAAGCTGACACGGAATGTACGCGTTCAGGAGACATTGTGCTAGCATTGCCTGGCATGTATTCAGCCTCGGCAAGACGACATCCACCAACGCCATGGCGAAGCACCGCGTGCCATGCCACGGGCAGTAGGAACAGGGAGGCTTGATACTTGGAGTGCTCCCCCAGCGGCACATGGTCGTCACGCTCTCATACCATTGTCACCTTCTGTATCTGGTTCGCCCACGGCCTGCCAGGAGTACCCTACCCCTCCTGATGCGAGCTGGTGGGGTCAACATTCACCCATGAACCTCGCGGCACAATCAATGCATCCTTGTCGCTGATTGTGGAGAGGGTGTGGGTGCGGAGACACTATCCCGCGCTTTAATGGGCGCGACAAGTTCGAGTGCGGCACAGCGCTATGGTCGTACGGGCGCAAAAGCAAGCAGTCGTGGTTCAGCAGCATGTCGCAGTGGGTGAAATCGCTGACCGCCTGCTCGCCCGGTGCGATACGCGCTGCGTCGCGGATGTCAGCATGTGCAGCTTGGGCGACAGCTCAGGGCGGCTGCGTACGGGCGCATGGGGACGGCAGTACATAGGGCTGCAGCCGGCTAAGAGGAGATGAGGGTGTGGGATAGATGGGCGTTCGCAGGCCTTTGCTTTTTGGTGAGAGGGTTTGGGAGCCGGACTGGCCGCTTGGCGCATCTCACTCGCCCTTTCATCCCAAACCACATCAGCGTGCATATTTCCCCTTCCTCCTCCACGCAGGCCTGCTGTAACGTTTCCCAGCAGTCGTAGCCCACTAGTAACAATTGCTCCGCCCGCATCCTCTCCAGCCGTCACACACGCGGAAGCCAGGGCGCAGACTTCCCGATCGACCATGTTCTTAAGATAATTATGTGCACATGTCCGCCATCCCAGTGTCTGACCTGGGCCTCAACTCGAGCGAGAGCAGATATCTCCAGCAGCAAATTGCCGCCTCGCAGCAAGGCTCCAATTCCTCGCGCGCTGCCTCTCACGCCTCCAGCCAAGGCCGTCTCCTCCTGGATCCTTCTAGTTTGCAGGCGCTCAGCGCCCACTTTGACCGTCTGATGTACTCCATCCAGCAGCGCTGGCAGTATGTGAGTTGTCATGTTCATAGCTTCACACGATGTCGATTGTTTGTGGTGTAGTACTGACAATGGCCAGCTCACCCAGCAGACACAAACAGCAACCCAAATACAGTACGACCGCGCCGGCAACGCCATGCAAATGGCAGACGCTGAAATCGCCCGCTTCCGTGCCATCCTCCGCGAAATCGACGAGCTCCAAGTAGAATTCGACAAAGTCCGTCGCATTGGAGAGATTGTCAAAGGCTTCAAGTCGCGCGTCGACCGTCTAGACCGCCGGATATGAACGCAATCCAGTACGCTGGACCGGCACCTCCCAGTACAACAAGCTACCTTACACCCACCAACCTACCTACACTCCTTTACCACTACGAACAGACAAACCTTGTCCCCAAGGACACACCACCACTATACCTACTAAGAATGGAAAGCCTCGCGGCATGGAAAACACTGGGGGATACCTGAGAGATTGGAAAGCCTCACGGCTCATGGCGTTCAGGTCGCGTTTTGCAGGATCCTTTGCTTTTGGGAATACCCACGTCTCGTTTTGCGCATGTCTCAGTTTGCTTCGGATGCTGTACCCTTCTCGTGTCGTTTGTGACACTCTGGACTGCTTCTTTTGGATCGTTGCGTATTGCTGCGAACCACCGCCTGTTGTACGTCATTGTGGATCGCTGTTGCACGACCCGATACCCCGTTCAGCTTCCGTATGTATGCTTTGCCCCTTTGAGTAATTTGCAACACCTGCTTCGTATTGCTTCTCTTCTTGGTGATCAAAACGAACATCGCACCGATCGGGGGATTGTTAAGCCTCATGTGCTGGGTGATGTTCGTGATGCTTCTTTGTCGAACTTGCGTTGCCTGTTCCCTTGCGTGTCGAACAGCCTACTGCTTAATGTTCTTCCCGATGACGCAAAGATATTGCCTACAAATGTAGTGACCGAACAAATCTTCGATGCATTCTACAGCTCAATGCCCGTGTTGCCGCAGTCATTGATCTTGGACATGTACCTATAGATGTTGTGACACGAGGTGAAGCATAGTCGCAAGCAGCTACAACACTTCGCGCAAGCCCGGAAGGCCGCATTATCCTCAAAATTCTCTATAACATTAGAGTCAATTACGCATATTCAAGAATGTTGTCTCAATCGCCAATTGTATGTAAACACATGCATGCCTCTTTCGAGATTAGGCCCCCTGATAGTCCTGAGCTAACCTGACATGGCTAGGCAGCCCTGCATCTACTCCCGAGGTCCCTTGGCTGTTAAGTTGGTACTGCCATCACCGTACCACACTGAGCAGAACCTGGACGTCATTCCGGACATCTAATTTACATCATTCATCGATCTCCATGTGTTCCTATTATCCTCGTCCCGCCCTAAAAGAAGGGCAGATCCAAGCGTGTGTTTGCTTCTCCAATCGTCATTTGCTAACGCCCATGGGGTCCGGGGATGCATCAATCAAACGGCTAGAACGGCCTTGTTCAGGCGGACAATTAGGCCGTATCTGGCCTTAGGGGACGGGCGCAGCAACTATGATGGCAATCATGCAGCCACCCGTGAAGAAGGAATGGGCTGGGCGTCCTCGCGTCTTCGCTCTGTGGCCTTTCTTCACTCCTTGCTAAACAATATGGGCTCGTCGAGATGCCCAAACTTCTTACGCGGCCAGGGAGCAGTCCGCTACGCTCATTATCGCGCACAGCACAGTCGCACTGGAAGTTGATTTTGGCTATTGCTTCCTTGTTGCTTCTCGAAGCATACGTCCACAGACGCAACTACGATGTCCCCCGCCCGTCGCCGCCCCTCGATGCGCCCTTCTACACAAGATGTCAGGACCCCGTTCTGAACACGACCGCGCGCGAAAATGCCGTGTTCATGATGCTCGCGCGCAACTCGGAAGTCAAGGGTGCAGTCTCGAGCGTGCGAAGCGTGCAGGAGCAGTTCAACGACAACTTTGGGTATCCCTGGGTGTTTCTCAACGACGAAGCATGGACTGAGGACTTCAAGCGGAAGGTGGGCAAAGCAGTCGGAGAAGGCGCAGACGTCAAGTTCGAAGTCATACCCAAGGAGATGTGGGGGTATCCCGAATGGATCGATCAAGACCGCGCGAAGAAGAGCATGCAGGATATGAAGAACCGGGGTATACAATACGGTGGGCTGGAAAGCTACCACCACATGTGTCGCTTTCAATCTGGGTACGTCGCATCGTCCACATACTCTTCGCACAGCACTGACAGCAACCCCGTAGCTTCTTCTACGACCACCCCGCCCTCCTCCCCTACAAATACTACTGGCGCGTCGAACCCAGCATATCCTTCACCTGCGCCATAACCTACGACCCCTTTGTCGAAATGGCCCGCCACAAAAAACGCTACGGCTACACAACCGCCCTCTGGGAGCGCGGCCAAACCGTCCCCTCCCTCTTCCGCAAACTTTCCCTCTACAAGAATGAATACCGCCTCCCCACCTCCACGCTCTGGACCGCCATGATCGACGCAAGCTGGATGCCGTGGCCTTTTCGTCGCATGCTGGCTGCGCTGCGCAATAGAGATGAGCGGGGTGATTTGTGGAATATGTGTCACTTTTGGTCAAACTTTGAGATTGCGGATATGGAGTTCTTCCGTGGAGATGCGTATCGAGCCGTGTTCGATTATCTAGACCGGGACGGCGGTTTTTACTACGAGAGATGGGGTGATGCACCTGTGCATTCGCTGGCTGCGGCTATGCTGTTGCAGCCGCAGGAGTTGCATCATTTTAGTGATTGGGGGTATATACATGATGACTTGCAGGTTTGTACTTTTGCGAGTACAGAACAGGAGAAGGCGAAGGGGATCAAGATACCGAGGTATGAGGATAGTGATGGGGATGGGAGGAAAGAGTTGGGGTGTAGGTGTAAATGTGATGATAAAGCTAGGATAGTAGAACCGGTATGCTTGAATAGGATTGGGCTGACGACTGGATAGTCGTCAAGTGCCCTGTGTACAAGGAAACATCGCCACGTCCCGCTTCTAGTCTATGGGGTGTCTGTACTCTGGTGGTGTCTCTGTCTCTGCCCACTGGAGTTCTACATGCCCACCGGACTTCACCACCTCTTCAGTAACATCATTGCCGTTGATGACGAGCTGACTTCCGAACTTGATCCACTCATCAGCTCCACGTACGCGAGCCCAATAATGCCCATCTCGCCGCCCACCCGCAATTTCCATTCCGCAGATAACCATGTCCCACTTGTCTGCTGCAATGATGTGGATACCCTGCACGACAGTTCCTTCGTCGTAGGTACCTGCGCGCACCCGATTGACTGTAAAATGTCAGTAACTCGTCTAACACAAGTGAAAAGTTTCATACATCTTATTGTCCTGAGCGCGACGGTACGCTCGAGTTCAGCCTCGAGCTCCTCTCTGAGTGCGAGGAGCTTCGCGGTCTCCAGTATCATCCGGTAACCTGAGCGAACCGCCATGAATAGGGCAAGCGCTATCGCCGAACCGAGCCAAGCGATTGGTTCGAAATTAAGGAGGGCTAGCACAAGGCGTGTACATCTTGCAGGTAGATTGGTGATGAGAGTCCAGGTGTTGATGCATAGTAGTAAGACGCGAGCCAGAAACCTCAAGATGGCCATCACAAGAGCTTCCAACATGGCGAAGGTGGTGGGTGTTGCTCTTTCTGGTAGGTGTTGGGGTGTTCCGCTTTGCGCAGGAAGATGAGAGCGGGAGTATTTCCCAATCGCTGTCGAAGAAAGTGAGAGCAAGGGTGGGGGACTGGCCAACGGGCACCGACCGCAAAGATTCTCCTTCACTTGAGCAAACGGTGTTGTGCGATCCTCTGCAATCAGCCATATTGCGAGTACGCGGGTAACAAGTAGGCGTATGCGACAGGCACCTGCAGGGTACTGCGTGAATCGCAGGTTTTCACTGATGAACTCGGCCCCTCTTGTAGACTCGCATCTAGAGACAAAAGTTGGGTGAATATTCTTCTTATTATACACAGAGTTGACCTGTGACCGAGTAGATTGAGCGGAGCGGTCGATGCGTAGTTGATGTGTCAAGCTATGATGTTTCGTTAATCAGTATCTCCTTGCCCTTCCTTCTTTGAATGCTCCAGGATCGTTCAACAGCATACTGCGCACGTCTTCCATGGTAAAGCCTTTGTGTCTCGCACAACAAGCCTCCATACATCGTAATATCTTTCTTGGCCATTCCACATATTCCGTCCATTCTCCACTTTTGTCATCGTCTACAGCAGCTATGATCAAGGCATTCCACTGAACAGTCGCCCTTGTAGGGGTTTTCAAAGCCATTTTTGGAGCAGCTAGTGACGACAGGACGAATCGCACGGCGCAAAAGTGGGCCATGATGACGTTGCCAAGCTGATTTGTGCGGTCAAACATGCGCATGAGTGCTTCATGTGGCCAGGTTGAGAAGATCGTAAGGATGACCATCATAGCTGCAAAAGACCGAATGGGGTACGGAGCGCCAGGGAGTGGATCCGTAACGTTTTCCCAGTCGATGCTGTCAAACGCGAGCCCGAATCCTTGTGGTAAGATCGGGTTGGCGAACGGGAAGAGATCCAACATCGAGTCACGACGTTTTGGAAGTTCATCAGTTTCTTTTTCCAGGTCTGAATGCAGCAGGAGTCGAAGTGTTTCGGCGAGCTGGCCGACAATGGCCTTCTCGATGGGATGTACACCAGTTCCGGTCATTGCACTAGAAAGGGCTTTCAAAGACAGTAGAGCCTGTTGCAAAAGTTCCTGGTCGACTTCAGGATATTTGGTAAATGCTGTGTCCATGGCTATCATGCTCAAGCCTTTCTGTGTGGAGAAAGGGCTGCTGAAACCCTCGTCTATGATAAGCTGAGAAAGGAATGAGCATCCCCGCAAAGATAAAAAGTGTTCAAGAAAGCCGTCACTTATGTAGCTTGACTGGAAGCACAGCAGGTAAGAGGTTGCTAACATGATATACGATTCCTCAGCCGTCGGGGGCCAATTAGCGAAGGCGTCCTCGAGGCCAACGATGGCCTTTTGTCGATGTTGCACTGCGAGAGCAGTCTGTGGATTTTCAACTTGAACGGCAAGATGAGATCCAGCAAGAGCCAGCATAGCGTCCATGAGATATGGATACTGAGTAGTCAGTGATGTTAGGTCTCTTGCACAGTGAACCTGAGGCTGCACTCACTTTATGGCACGCTGCTGGGACATCTTTGACCCAAAGCTCTTCCCAGTCGTGCGGAATCCAAGGATGTGCTGAGACGAGATAGTGATGAAACAGCTGCATATCTTCTGAGCTGTAGATAGTAGGTGTGTCGGAAAGCTTAACAACTTGACGAGGACTTGACACTGCTGATTCGATGTAGTCACGCCGCGCATGCTTGAATACATCGGGGTATCTACAGACCACTAGAATATTTGGTGAGACGTTGATCTTAGTTCACGACCCCACACTTACGTCCACGCTTGTCGCAGTTCGCGCATGAAGGCCATGTCTCTGGACACTAACATAGTTTAGCGATATACGAGGCACCGGGAAACGGATGCAGTACCTTGATCTTGCGTCGTTTGCACGGGATGCAACCCAGACGACTCTTAGTGTGTCCGCGTCGCTTTCGTAACCCTGTCAGCGCGGGTGTGTCGCCGCTAGAGGCGGTGGTGCTGCTAGATGTGAGTTAGGTATAGTTCTGTGCATTGCGTGAGAAGCGTACGATTGGTCAGACCCGTTCACATCGTTTTCTTTTGGTCGTATGGGTTGCTTCGATACTCCTGCATGGTGGATCGTTTGCGGAACATCGTCAGGTGCTTTGGGATCTTTGGCAGGAACGCTGTTCCCAAGGAAGTCGCCTATGCCGTCCAACACAATGTAGCCATCAAACAAATCGTCCATGACTGCGAATACGTCAAGTAAGGAAATAGACGTGATGATGCAATCTACAATTTTCCATGTCACCGGTGTTGTTGCCTGAATCAACTGGGATGATGCCAAGCCGTCAAGGTGTCATCGTTCGCTGGAGGCCTTGTCGTCGGAAAGTTGGCGTCAGCGGCGCTGGATCCGAGTATTACAAAGACAATTGACGCTAGAGGCCATGAACTCTGGGTGCGTGCATGTCTTCTCATACAAATGTATGCATGAAGCTGAGGCATAAAGGAGCTTGAGAAGTCGTCATCTCGACAGGGTACTGGTCCCGCACTGGCCTCGCGGACGCAGTGTCGCGTGAGAAAGTCGCGATGCCTTCAGCGAGTGCAATGGCGGGAATCTTGGGTCAATGTTACATTTTCGAAGAGCAGAGTGAAAGCGAAATCTCGTAATGATTTGAAGTCGTTATATGGATCCATGGACTACGGATGAGGTTGCCGTGGGTCGGCAAACGTGACGGGGCAGAAAGCGTTGGATGGGTTTCTGCCTTGTCCGCCCAGTCGGGTGGTTAGCCGCAAGTGACGTCTCCCCTTCACCAGCACCGCCGTTCTTCTTACCAACACCGTGGCAATCTCCACGCGGCACCGCATCATTCACCTCGCCATCCGTATGCAGCCTCGACTGGCTTACCAAGCGACTGCGATTCTTCCCATGTGCTGCCTAACAGTGGAGTGAGGAGCACGCCCCACCAGCCACGCCCAAGCCCAACCAACGGCTGAGCACTCGAGCACGCCCAAACCTCCTCCAATTCCGCGCTCGAGGTCGCAAAGCACGCCGCAATGCCTTCGATTCTCTCCGACGAGGACAAGCAGACGGTCAAGCGCACCGTGCCCAAGTCGGCCAACAAGATCCACACCGTCGCCGTCGCCAAGTTGTACATCGCCTACCCGGACCGGCACCGATGGACCTACACGGGCCTGCAGGGCGCCGTCGTGCTGGCCAACGACCTGGTCGGCAACACCTTCTGGCTCAAGATGGTGGACATATCGGTAGGTGCGAGGGACGCCGCAGCACAGAATGCACGACTGACGGATGCAGCCCCAAAGTCGCGGTGTCATCTGGGACCAGGAGATCTACGACACCTTCTCGTACAACCAGGACCGCGTCTTCTTCCACACCTTTGAGCTCGAGGATTGTCTGGCCGGCCTGTCCTTTGCCGACGAGAAGGAGGCCAAGACGTTCAAGAAGAAGCTCGACGACCGCGAAAAGAACGCCCACAAGAACACCAAGAACAAACCCTTCAGCGCATCCGCAGGCACTAGCGCGCCCGCGGCCAACGGAAAGGGCGGAGGCCATGGCCACGGCCTGCTGGGAAGGCTCACCGGACGTGACCGCCATTCTTCCTCACCTGGCCCGCCGCCAGCGTCCATTATTCCACCTGTCAGCGTCACATCGCCTGTGCAGAGCACCCACTCCAACGCCACAAGC